AAAACTATCCCATTTTAAGAATTTATCCCATTTTAAGAATGTTGAGAATAAGACAGCAGAACATGCACCAGTCTAACAGTTTCTGTACATGTATTCTGTGACAGCGGTGACATTCTTCCTGTTGTGCAGCTGTTCTTACTCTCCTTTTCCTACTTGCTGCTCTCTTCCCCGTTGACATAAACTCTTATCTCAAAACCACTGCCAGTGATTCGATTCTGGCTCTTTTTTTTTTTTTAAAAAAAAATACCATTTGGTTTCTTTTTTTTTTTAAATTTTATTTTTATTTTTATTTTTATTTTGTGTGCGTGTACCGTCAAATCAGATCTGACTGGTACAGGAGGATATTGCGCCTCCTTCTCCGGCAGAGCATCTGGTGGATTCGAACCGTGTTCCTCTGGGAGTGGATTCTGGCTCTTAGGAACAGTAAGTTTTCCAAAGCTGTCAGTCTTTACAGAAGCAGACTACCTCATCTTTTTTCCCCTGAAGAATGGCTGGTAGATTTGAATTGCTGACCTTTTGGTTAACAGTGGATCAGTTTAATCACTGTGCTACCAGGACTTCTTTTGCATACACTAGTATGCTAGTATACTGCCCCCTAGTTTCTTTATCTGATCTTTGAGCTGCTCTTGTTCAGTTAATCCTAAATGGATATATTTTCACTCATTTAACCATTTTCACCATTTTGAGTGTGTATATGTTTTCCACCATTGCCGATAAAAAGAATACTTTTTTTGCATGTATCAGTGCATTGATCTCTTGGTTTGGATTTTGGTTCTTAATGACAAAACTCAAGAAGAGTGTTTCTTTCTTTGACTGGGATGGAGAGCCACTGAGTAGTGGCTGCTTCCGAGCTCAGACTCATGGGACTGGGGACGTTTTGTTTCAGCTCTGCCTACGTATCCTATGGGGGCCTGCTCATGAGGCTGCAAGGTGATGCCAACAACCTGCATGGATTTGAGGTAGATTCGAGAGTGTACCTGCTGATGAAGAAACTGGCCTTCTGAACCATCTGGAAAGCCAACTTCGCTGTTTAATGACTCAGTTCATGGACATTTCTGCTGAAACTCCCATCTAACTTGTCCCATTGAGGGCGTCACCATCCAGACAATGTCCTTCAAGCCTGGGAAGCATTGACTGTTCTCTTGAAAGGAAAGGCTGCCTCTCCGTCCACCTCTGGTGCACCTTCCATGGTCTGAACTCTGGAAACGGATTTGCCTTTGGAATACCTGTGGGGGTGGTGTGGGGGGTCCTTAAAATGAATTACAAGTTATTTTGTGTATATGATTTTTAAATTAAATTTTAGTTTTTCAGACTTTCCTTTTTAAAAAGATTTTTTTTCCTATTCACTTTAAAATCCTTTTCCCCCCCATTTGTATATGGTATGTTTCTGATTCACAGCTTGATGACCACATGTAGGATCTACCCCAGTCTTTAGAGTCTGAATTCAGAGTTCCCCCAGTCTTCTGGTTGACTAATCCTAACATTTATCCTCCAATGTGACATTCTTTCAGGGAGTGAGAATGTTTTGCTTTTTTGGCTTCTGAGGGCATCCCAGGCCCGGAAGATACCACCCATTTGGCATAGAATTTTGAATTGGCAAAGGGCCCCGCTCATGTCCTTCCAATACTTTCAGTCTCTTAGGAAATCAGTTCACATTGACTTGAATGAGTCACTTTCATAGCCTGAGTGTTCATGATTTTTATGGAATTATTGGGTGGAGCCTTGAGACACAAGGCATGAGCACAGTAGTCTAAAGAGAGTAGGAGAGCACTTGGGAAATGGAAATAGGTGGAAGAGCTCGCTGCTCTGTATTCTGGTGGTGACCTGGGAGAGAGGGTAAGTGATGGTGGCTCTTCCCAGTGACACTGAGCAGGGAGCTGCTGCAGAGACCAGTGAGGTGGACAGGGCAGCAATACCAATGAGATTTGTAGGCCTGTGCCAGTGCCTGGACAATGCAGCTGCTTGAATGCAGTCACTAACCTATAAGTGGAGGAAGAGAAAAATTGAAATGGAGATGCTCACAAGGACTCTAGCATATGAACTCTTCAGCCCAGAGTTCATGTCTGAGCATGTAGAGGAGACTCATCTGGGAAATTCTGGATACCAATCCTGAAAGATTCTTTGGGAACCTGTATTAAACAGCCATCTCTTTTGATCTGGTTTTGTCATGGGAGCTGGCCCCCTGCTAGGCATACCTGAGGTGTTGCCTTTCCCCATCATTTTCAGGTCTTTAACAGAGGTGTTAGAAATTGTACTTGGGAAAATGGGTTGAAAATGTATGGGCTCTGCAGGGGCCAGAAAGGTATTTCTTATCAACTCACCGTACTGAGGGAAAGAGAGCTGGAGGGGGAAGGCAAGGGCGTGGGGTAAATTTTTTGTGAATCCTAGACATGAATCAGATTGTAGCTGTTTCTTTTGGTTTTGTTTTGGGTTTTTTTTTACTATTTTTTTGTGTTTGTTTTTTTGGGTTTTTTTATGGGGGATATTTGATGGAGTTAGAGTGACAGAACTTAACTTTTAAGGTAATAGTGTATGGGTTAGAGCAGCATGTCCTGGTGCCCTGAGATAGCAGGAAAAGGATTGCCATAAATTCAATAGGGATAGGAATGCTATAAAAGCTTTATGTCTTATGTTAAAAAGGGAAGGAATCAGAAGAAAGTTAAGAGTCTTAATGGTGACAGATAAGTTCACCTTGGAGAAGTCAAGTAGTTCTTTCTATTTGCCCTGATCTGGGGAAAATCAAATGCCAGTATTATTGTTGGGTGCTGTGGAGGGCACTATGACTCATTAACAACCCTGTGGTCAACAGATGGGAACCTGACTCCTGTACCATTGTCACCATCTCTAACAGGCTCTTATTGTTAGAGCCACTGTGTGTGTCCGTCCATCTTGTTGAAGGACTTCTTTCTCTGATGCTCCACCTATGTTGTGGCTGTTACATCCCAAATAATTGAACCAGTTAATAGCTGACTCTCAAGTGCCTTTCCAGAGGCTGTAGGTTACAAGGAAGGAGATTGCCCATCTTTTTCTTGCAGAGAAGTTGGCAGAGTCAAACTGTGACATTAGGGTTGGCAGTGGAACTTCTTACAGAGCCCCCTAGGTCTGTGTATGGTTTTGCCAGTAGGGCTGCCTATAACTTCCTGGGCGGCGTGCTTCTTGCTCTATCCTTGCCTTTCAGCCAGCTGGTGATGCCTCTCTCTCTGGTTCCTGTGGCATGCCTTGGCCTGGTTGCAGGCTCTTCGTGTGCTATAAAGTGGTTTGATGGTTAAATTTAACGTCAGTATTGGCAGCAAGTTGAAATTTCAATTTCCTATTCCCTTAGCTGCATTCTGGTTTAGTAGTGTGGATGAACTAATTTTCTCCTGTGCTAAAACGGACAGATTTGGACAGCCCTTATGAGCTTTGTGCATTTGTTGATGCCTTCTCCATGGTAACTTCTGTCCACGAAGGGACACAATGGACACCTGGAGATATCTAACTTTGTTACTCCTGCCAATAGCTTTGGTTTTTCACCCAGAACATTATTAATATATTTATTCCCTAGGAAAGTAGAAATCCTTTACAATAGATGGAATCATTAAAAGACAAATGGGATGGGGTGCATCAGTGTGGAGTAAAGACTGCAGAGTGAGTCAGACTAGGGTTTTTCTGACTATAGGCTTTGTTAACAATTGGGTACTTAACCTGACTTCTTTGTGCCTCAGTTTCATTATCTGTAAAGTAGAGATAATATCTACCTTATAGAATAACTTTAAGAAAGGTAATAATATACACTCAATTCTAGGCACACTGGCTTCCAGATTATTTGTAATATCAGTGGTGATCTTTTGGCATCACTGATGCCTTTAGGTATTTTGGTTTCTGACTTAATATGGTAACAGCTTTCTTCTTGTGTGACTGGTGGGTGGAGAGAATTCCGTTTTTCTACACATCTCGTAAGAGGTAGCAGGGTGACCTTTGCAATGGAATTTTTGCTTTTTGCACTATAAATCTTCTGAGTACCAAGACAGCATCAGCATTTCATTGCAGAGTCCAGGAGCCTGCCTTAGGCTTCACTTTCTAAAGATTCTAGCAGCATTTATGGTGGTCACAGGGGATCTCTTTTTAGATACTGTGACGTTCTGGGAGTTGGGATATAAGCCTTCAGTTTGCCTTGTGTTTCCTCCTGCTGCGACCCCAAGAAGACCAAGTTCTCCTACTTCCTGCACTTCCCCTCGGCCTCCACAGGAGGGAGGCAGGAACCCGTGCCTGGTGAAGCCGCCTGCTGCGTGGCTGAAGCTTCAGCTGTTTGCTCAGCTGTTGCTTCCAGGTCTTTGCTTGACTGAGCTGTCTGCACCACCTTACCTGGGGTGTGAAGCGCTCCAGTGCTTCCTGTTAGATTTTATGGTGTTCATGGGGGGCGGAATCTATGTCCTCTTCCAGAAGAACATCTTTCCCTGTTTTCCAGTTACCTTTTGGTTACCCTCCTTTTTAAACACAGTTTTGTCTATCAAGGACAGTTTTTCTGAGAGATGACTTCCCATTCATTCCTCCAGAACAAGTGTCAGACAGTTCCACAGAGAATGGCATTATTAAAGGCAGAGACCTTATGTTTGAAGCAAATGAAAGACCCTATTTTCATGCTTAAGATTTGGCCTTTGGCCCAGTTCAGAGACCACCTTCAGCTTTTGCAGAATTTGCATAGGCAAAACAGATCATACAGAGAATTACTAAGTTGTAAACAGGTACAGAAAACGGACCAAAGATAATTAGCTGCTCTGATGAATATTATTGATTGTTTAAAAAAATAACTTCTCAAATTTGATAATATACAATGGAAAAGGACCCCGCTTTTTTTTTATCTTGGTATCTCCTCCTTTATCAGGACTTTAGGTTTCAGATAAAAGCAGGAGATCTGGTAGAAATGTAGTTGTCTGCCTTCCAGGGCCTCCCTCTGGGTAAGGAAGTTGTACAGAAGAGAAAATGCTGATCCAGATGGACATTGGAAGTACCTCAGTACCTTATCCATCCTGGGACAGACTCTGGAAGTAAGGGTGGGTGGGATCGGCCTGGGGTGTGGTAGCAGAGTGGTGAAGAAGCTGGGGATGGAGCTGGACCATTCTGGTGGGTGATGTGAGTGAGGGAGAGACAAGGGGGTGCTGTCCCGTAGGAGAATAGACAGGGGAAGGAGGATAGCCAGGCCAGAGGTTGGGTGGCAAGGAGCCTGTGTCTGAAGGTCCGGGGGGAATGTTTGAAGCATTTAGGGCCCCAGGTAAAGGCCCAGAAAAAAGTCCATGAGTTCCATTCAGGGGTCGATGTGTCCTGTTCAGGTGTCCCAGGACTTGATCCAGCCTGGAAGTTTGGTTCAGCAGAACAGGAATCTTGGCTCTGAAGCCCTGCAGTCTGTTCAGAAATCCAGAGCCAGTAGTTCTGGCGGAAACACTGATGTTTCCCTCCAACAGTCCAGAAGTCCTGTTTGGGAGCTTGTTCAGTATGAGGAATAGAGGAGGACTGCTTGGGACAGCTGCGGTGGGCAGGGCCCGCCTGGCACAGAGAGTGGGCCCAACTACGAGCAGCAGGAAACGCACCTTTCCTCGGAGCAGTTGCTGGAAGTTCAAGAAGATGGCATGGGGGTCCTTGTGAGCTGTGGTCCTGCCCTGTGGAGGAAACTGAGGGCAGAGGATGGGCCTGAGGCCAGAGACTTGGGCCAGATAGCGAGCCTCCCTTATCTTTGTGGGGATGATCAGGGGACTGGTACATAGGCTTTATTGCTGGGTGAACATTTCTTGGTAGCTCAGCTCTTCTTCCCCCTTTCCTTTTATGACTTCTGAGGCTACTAAACAGAGAAGAGGGGTAGTTTCTACAGATTCTTTGACAAGGGACTTACCTGGGTTCCAAGCAGGCCCTGCAGGGCTCCAAGGAGGAGGCGGACCTGTCCAGAAAGCTGCCCTAGTAGGGATGAGAACAGGTGGGTCCCAGTTGTCCCCGAGCTGCCATTGCTCCCTCCAACAGAAGGGTTACCGCTCCCAGAACGTCCTGTGCCTTGGTCTGCTCCTGGGAGAGAGGAAAGAGAAGTGGACTGCTCTTCAAAGGGCAAGCTACAGCGGGTGGAGAGCTGGACAAGTAGCCAGCAGGATGAATCATAGGAGCTGAAAATTGGATAGGACCAAGGTCCCACCCAGTGCAGGAATTCCTTCAGTCTCTGGACAGTTGGTCATCAGCCTCTGCTTGAATAACTCCAGTGTCCAGTAACCCGGCCTGGTGCTACACTTAGTTCTCAAAAAAGTTCTTTCCCCCCTGCTTATAATACGCTGAGATCTGTCCTATCGTTTCACCTTTGGCTTCTGGCACTGCAGATAGGTTATTTCTGTGACAAAACCTTAGAATTGTGCAGTTTTTAGATTGATAAGGAATCCTGAGATGCTCCAGTGTCTTCAAGCTTAATATATAAATGAGTGTCTCGCGTAAGGATCATGAAGATGGTGGGTAGGGACTTGATAATGAATGAGACAGTTGAGATTACAAAGGGTCCATGGGAATCCGGGGGGGAGGGGAAAGTTGAGGGAATAGAAGGGAATTCTAGGGATTTTGGAATAGGATTCCTGGGTGGGGTAAAGTGTTAATGTGCCTGGCTGTTGACTGAGGGATTAGAGGTTCAGGTCCACCTAGAAGTACCTCAGAAGGAAGGCCTGGTGATCTAATGGAAAATCAGCCACTGAAACCTTAGGGAGCACAGGTGTACTTTGACACTCATGGTGTGGCAGTAACTCAGAATAAAATAAAACAGCAATCGGTTGGTTACTGATGGAGGGTATAAGAGGTGACCTACCAGAGAGCTTCAGGAATCCACAGTCTTAAGCACCCCCTGCTGCACCACAGAAATCAAAACTCAAAGCATTTACATTGAGTTGATTTTGATTTCTGGTGACATATTGCAGAGTAGAACTACGTTTTATTTTAAGACTGACATCTTTTGGAAGCAAATAGCAGGCTTTTCTTTGAAGATACCTCTGTTTGTTATGTGCCATCGAGTTGGAACTTACTCATAGCTGACCTTCCTGTGGGTTTTCAGAAGGTGTAAATTGCCCATCTTTCTCCTGAGGAGTGGATTAAAACTCTGATGTCTTGGATTATTATCCACAACTCCTTACCCTCTAGGCCACCAGAGGTCCCTTCTGTTGTTGTTATGTGGCATCAAGTTGCCTGTGACTCATAGCGACCCTATGTGCTTTAGCTCTGAACTCTTCTCTGTCCTGAGCCAGTCTCACTGACTACACCACACCTACCCCCATTGCCCCAGTCACTGTGTCAATCCATCTCATCCGGGGTCTTCCTCTCCTACGCTGTCCCTCCACCCTTCTGAGCATGATGTCCTTCTCCAAGGATTGGTCCCTCCTGACCGTGTACCCAGAGCATGTGAGATGGAGCTTCAAAATCCTATCCTCCAAGGAGAAACTTGGTTTCGCCCTCTCTAAGACAGAGTTCCCTTCTGGGTGGGTTTAACTCACCAGCATTTTGGTGAACAGTGGAGTGCTTATTCATTTGCATCAACACCCAGACAATTTTATTGTACTCTGCTGTATCCCAAGACTACCACTTTTACTTTTCTCCAAGCTAATCAGAGATAGGACACATCCCTGGCATATACCCTTCCTTATTTCGAACATACAGTGTTTCCTAGCTCTGTTCCGATGACTGCCTCCTAGTCCAAGTATAGGCTTTGCATAAACACAAGTGTTCTGGGATTCCCATTCTTCTCAGAGTCAGCCACAGTTTGTTGTGATCCACACAGTCAAATGCCTTTGCATAGTCAATGAAACACAGATAGACATTCCTCTAG